TAGGAGACAAATTGCGGCCGCGATTATGACTATTAGGCTTGTAACAGACCAGGCTGTAAGTGATTTAGGAGATGTCAAGGAAGCTGGCTACACTGCCTTTGTTGAGAAGTACCTAAAATTTAAGCCAATTACAAGTGGTAAAAGTCATGCCAGCATGTATAATGTTCATGCCGGCGCAAGGTTTATGCCCTTGTAGCAATTCCCTTAAATCGCGAATATTACTTTGATATGCCGCAACTTTATATAGTGGGTCGCAGTTGCCAAAAAAGGAAAAGAATTACTCCTCGTAACGGCAGCGCCAAGTATAAGGCCGGAGCGCCTATGTATAAAATAAATACAAGGCCCAGCTTTAGATGCCTATACGAGAGGCCAAGCCTCGCGCCTGCGCATGAAATAAATACAAGGCGCAGCTTTGCCTGCCTGTACGAGAGACCAAGCCTCGCGCCCGCTCTAAAACCGACTACGGCTGCATATTATTCTTATACCAGACTCTATACTGTCCAACGGACTGACCTGAGAGATAGACGCGAGCAGCAGCAGCCGCTGCGGTGCGGGATTTTGCTAAAACTTTGGTCATTTCTAAACTAAAGATGGAAGAAACATATTTCCTGGGTGTTAGCTTAATTAGACTTGAACTGGTGGTGCTGATTGACACGGAACCTGGAAAAGTCCATGTCTGGTTGGATACACATGCGACGCAGCTGCGGGTATTGTCACCCCGGCACCTCTCCCGTAGAGAGGGGCAGCCTAAGCTCCCAGCGCAGCGCAGCGCTCCCGCGGCAGCGACGCCTGGACATCGTTCCAGAATATAGTTCCGGGCGTCGCAAAATCCTATTTGTGGGCCGCCCTGCAGCACTATTGGCCATGAGCCCAAACGTAAAACGGCAACCTGTGGTACGAGCTGCTCATTTTCGGTCGTAGCTAAAGAGTCACTGGATAAAATGACCTGGTCTCTACACCATTGACCAGGTATACAGCACGCCAAGCATAATCATGAACCGACTACCCATCGGCAACTCGATGACTCCATGTCGAGCAAGGCTACTGTGCCGGAGCTTGTATCTGCCGGCGTCTCCCCGAGAGACATGCAGACGTCAATATTTTCGGCAACCGCATCCTCAGTTATTAGCTACTAGAAGGGATATATATAACTGCATTTCCAAGGTTAAAGATGGCATGCATAAAGGCCATAGCTCCATATATGCTCTCATTAATTATTTAGATTGTAAAGGCTTTTAGAGCTGTGTTCAGGTTAATAAGAACCAGCGGGTTACCGCTATCTTGTTTGCCCATCCTGTATTATTACGGTACCTCCAAGCTTACTCTGACCTCTTGCTATTAGACTGCACGTACAAGACGAATAAATACCAGATGCCACTTCTTAATATGATAGGAGTTGATGCTTACCAGTAATTCTTCCAGTCTGCATTACATTCACCCGCCTAATGCGCGAACAATTACGTCAAAGTCTGTATCATAAGTGCGACGATGGTTGGGGGAAAGAGGGATGCTATTCAAGCTGGAGCTCGAGCCCTGCGGCTACACTTTGACTTGGAGCACGAGAGTAATATCTACGCCAGGCTCGATCAGCTCCAGGGTTACGTAGTGCCATGGCAATAGCTTCTTCCATTCTCTCATGTTCCCGCGCGGCGCTATTGCTCCTAGTCTTACTGCTGCAGATCCGCTGCATAACCTCTATAAACAGCCTCTTCTTTGCCATAGTAGAGTTAACTGACGCTGCCGAGATCCTACATGTTGCTTTGTAAAGCAGTTTAAGACAAACGCGTGGCTCCCGCCTCCGTCAGGATATACTCGGACGCCCTATCTATCAGGCTTTGTCAAGGAAGGCTTGACTCTCTGATTGGAAGCTATTTGCCTGCTTGGTCCAGTCCTTGCTTCAAGTAATCTTGTGGCGTGGAAGGCTCTTGGTCGCTTACTGCCGTGATATCCCGGCGGCTATTGCTGAATTGTACGCCCAAACACATCCTATGTTTCCGGTCGTTGTTTCCTGATGAAAAAGACGCCTTTCTTTGCATGCGGCCTTGATTGCCTCAAAGTGTCGTCGTCGACGTATTTTCTTAAAGTCATGCCAAGGACGAAGCTACTTTGGATAGTATTTGCCGTCGACTCTCGTGAATGTGGTCGAAGACCGAGATGTGCTAACTCACCCACTACAAGTTCCGCCATACGAAGTCAGACTCCTTCATCCACGCCACCTCCTGACTACTGCTTCGCTGCATAGATGTTTCTACCAGAAAATCAAGCAGTGTTTACTCGTACTGAATTGCGGAATGAAAAGCATCGTTGCTGTTGTTGATCTTCTGAGCGCCTGCACTACTTGGGAGCGCGATCAATTCGATTCCAGGTCTGGCTGAAATGCGGCTTTGGACAGCCGCTACAATTTGTGAGTTACAACAGGTAAACGCGAGGATATACAGCGCCTTATTCTAAGCTTACCTTAACGCACTTTAGGTCAGGACCAATGTCTGAAAATAAGATCGACCGGTTAAAGAAAGAGCTGGAGCAAGAGCGATGTGAGAAGGAGGAGGCAAAGGCACGGGAAGAGCGTGAGCGGCGCAAAAACCAGAATACCACGCTCGAGGGATCTACGTGGCCGCTGGCGCATCTCTAATACTCTTGCGCGTCGACAGAGCGGACCTGCAAACGCTGTACTCCGTACTCTGTACTGCCATGCGTGCGTACCCGAAGAAAGTGATGAAAAGGGTCAAGTAAGGAAGATTTCATGAATGCAGAAAAAGGGCGTTGAAAAGCCCTGTGACATGGATCTACCCGACAACTACGCAACTGGCGCCCAGGCACATGGGTAGCCTACGAGGACACCAACTAGCTCTCAAACCGTCAATCGGTACAGCCAGATGCAAAGCCGTCTCGAAGACGCAAGTTATGAACCGCCGCCTCACCACATATTTCCCGCTCTGGTAAAATCGCCCGCCCCCTGCCCCTCGCTAGTCGAACATCGCACGGGTCCCCGCTTGACGGACGGGATGCCAGCCATTCCCGGGAGGAACTATGATGCGTGCCGGACATGGAAGAAGAAAGCCAGTATTTCAATACCTCTGTCTACATGTGTTGTAACTTGACCCCCATCTCGCTTTTCAGGCGTGGTAGGTCGCGTATTTGGAGATGAAACTCCCGCGTCGCACTAGGCAACACAAGAAATCCGCGAACACCAGTAGCAAAGAAAATGTCCCAGTGTGACCAAGCCCAGCCGTCCTGCTCACCCTGTACACGCCTCAAGAGCTGGTGCCTTCTCGGCGACCATAGGTCTTTTGCTCGGTGCGCGACCGCCCCACTTTTCAACCACATCCTTTACATGAGTACCTAGGTATGTATGGCAGCAACAGTGGAAATTACAAACCGTCGCCTAAACACTTTCCAAGAGGCAGCAGCATTGCCAATTTTTCCTTCCTTTGCAACACAACAACGTTGTCGCGATGGATGAAGAAAGCCCTCAAAGCCCTCAAAATCCGCCACCCAATATACCGCCATCAGAAGGTTATAGCTCTTTTAATGAGCTGTACGATGCTGTACTAGCTTTTGGCCGCAATAACGGCGTTGGCTTCACGAAGAGATCCATGAGCAAAATGATCGAAATAAACGGCACGAAGCAGCCAACCTGGGGCTACCTTGATTGTGACCGCGGCTACAAAAGACCTTCTACAGCGACTGGAATTCGAAAGTCTCGCACAAGAAAGACCGACTGCAAATATCGGCTTAAAATAACGGCTTCTCGTGATGACAATAATCAGTATAAATGGCATTACAGGGAATTAAATTCACATAATCACGAGAAATCAAGTAACCCATCAGCACACATAAGCTATCGAAAGTTTACTGAACCGCAAAAGAAGCAAATTGCACGCCTTTCAGAGCATGCCAGCATCCAAGCCCGAGTCGTTAGTACAATAATCCGCGATGGCGCCAGCGAAGAGCTATATTTCCTACCAAAAGATATTTACAATCAACGTCAAAAAGCCCGCCGAGCAAAATTAGATGGCTAAACGTCGTCAGGACGGGGAGGATCACAGTACAGTGCCTATGCTAACCGAGTACGCGGTTGCGCTGAAGGCTTTGAGGTAGTTGTTTTGCTGATAGACCGGGAAAGGTGTTGACGGTGGAAACATTGTTTGCCATTTATCTCGTCATGATTTGCCAGGTTTGTGTTTGCTTCTATAACCCCGATTTGATGCGGGTTAGATTATATATTCTGTACTGCCCAGCATGATTTTGCAACTCCTCATAGGGGACTCTCATATTTGTGAATTGGTTGCTAATGGAGAGGGTGTAGAACTGGATGGGTGGCAGCAGAGAAGAGTTATCGGTGCATGTCCACGGCTTGGTGCATATTCTCAACTCTGAAGCCGCTCGAGACTGGGACGACGGCTTCAGCAGGCAGGTTATGGGAATCACACCCCTCCTTGCTTTAAGCGGCTGCTTCATTTCTTGGCCATGTCCAACTTGGCCCACTCATCACCTCGACGACAAGCGTTCCCAATCACAATAAAATAATAAGGAAAAATTATACAAACGGTATCTCATCAAAACCCAGGTCTTTGAGGTCGTCACAAACCACAACTTTCAGTTCAAACCGCAATATATAGCGTCCCGAAAAGCCGGCCCTGCGCCAGCTCACCCCGGCAAACCAACATCTCGGGCCCGGAGACCATCAAGCTCAAAAATCTGCTCAACTACCCCGAATACCTCAACAAATCAGACCTACACCTGGACGAGATCCGCCGACGCTACGACCAGGCCAGGCTCGAATGTCAACCTCCTCGGCAGCATGATCGCCGGCGCACAAGCAGCCCCCCCCCCCCCGGGGTTGCCGTCGGCACCAAAGGCGACCCCAGCATCCTTCGTAAGGATGTACATTGTATATCCTATGCGAATCTAACGCAGCGACACTCATGTCCATCACCATGATGCTCAGCCCGATCCTGCGCATCTTCAACCCGCACGACCTGCTGCCCGAGTAGGACATGGCCTTCTTCACTACGCAAGTCATGAACGTTGCCGAGCGGGTCAAGGACCTACGGCCGCTAGGGTGCACGTTTCTCCCGCCGTCTCTGTGCATGGGCTGGGTCACCACGCCAGGTGAGGGCGTGAAGGCCCGGCTGGGGACGTGGATGGAGTTTTACCAGGCGGATTTCCGGGGGGGCAAGAGCGCGGATTTCACGGGCTGGCTGGAGCACCGGTTTGGGAGGATGAAGGCGCGGGCGGCGGAGCGAGAGAGCAGGATAGGGGCGAGTGGCGCCGAGGGTAGCGGCATTGCGTCTTCGAGGAGGCACGAGGAGGAGGAAGTATTTGAGATTACGGGGACAAGGCCCTGCTGCGTGATGTGATGATGTGCAGAGGCGCTATGACGACGATGGCGATGTGTGAGGGATGCCCGTGTGCCATCTAGATGTGTATCTTGCCCGGATTTATGATTTGGTGTTGCTGAGAAGGCTTCAGAAGGCCTCTTGGTAGGCTGTTCAAGGCCACCGCTCTTCTCCTTTGCCGTAGAATACACGTTCGTGATCATTTCATGTCGCTGGGTACGACGTCACATGTCTGCACACACGTGCTCCGTGTCCAGCATAAAGTATAAGCTAGCTAGTTGCTGGGCTGGGGAAAAAAAGATACTACTACTTCTTAAAAGCTATGGCTCTGCTCTCATTCAACCCGCACCGTCGACATCCCATATGCTACATGACCCCTTTTACTTGATGAACTGGGAGGCCAGCCCGGCCAATCCACCCTTCGACTGGGCCTGGCTCTTGAAGTACATCTTCATGGCCATCTCAGCCGCCTGCTGGACGACATTCTCCTTGCTAGCTCCGTCCGCAACCTTTCCCTGCGAAGCCTTGGAATCGAAGAGCTACAAGACGAATTAGTTCCCAATGAAGAGACAACCCCTGATTCCGGGCCGGTTTGCGCTTCTGCAACAAAAGAAGCGCCATGACGCACCTTGCTAGCCTCGGACATGGCCATGCCCAAAAAGGCAGCCTGGCCCGTCCCCGAGCTGGCGTTGTTGTCGGACTGGGTGAACTTCTTGAGGGCCTGCATGGCGGCCGCGGTCCCGAGCGAGCTGGAGTCGCCTTTGCCGTCGTTGTTGTAGGCGTGCTGGTGCTGCTTGATGGCATCTGTTTGACACGTGCGCTGTCAGCTGTGACAGGCCACTGAGAACAAAAAAGGTTGAGGAATCAGGATTGCAGGGCCCACCTTGCTCGTCAATGTCCTCGTTTTGAATCTTTTGCTGCTTGTTCCCGACGGCGCTCATAATGTTGGAGAAGAGGTCGCTGTTGCCAGAGTTGCCGGCGTTGCTGGACGCGTGCTGCTGGGCCATCTTGAGGATGTCATCTTGGAAACCCCCGCCGCTGCCTCCGCTGCCGTTGTTATTGTTATTGTTATTATTGTTGTTGTTGTTGCCGCCGCCGCTGCCGCCCTGGTCTTGATGGCTGTTAGTCGCTCGGCCTGGGAGAGGTGCACCGCCGCGGCTTGTACTAACTGTTGGACTGTCCTGTTGCAGAGGTTCGTGTTAGACCAAAGAGTCTTGCCTGACAAAAATCGTATCGGCACGCCGCGCTCTTCCTCGAAGCCTCGTCGAGTCATCGCCAGCTTGATGGAGCAGGGATACTTCCATGGTGGGGTAGCTTATCGTCAGGCAAGGGTCCGCGAAGGAAAGAGGGGGGGAAAAACGGGAGGGGAGGGGGAACAGCTAATCCGTCAACGAGGGGTAAATAATTCCCCTTGATCTAGGCGCAATTCACAAGAATCTCGCACTCACCTTGGCTCTGCCCCTGGCCAGACAGCTGCTGCTGGAGCATGTCCTTCCCGACGCTGAGGAGCTTGTCCATGATGGATGACGATTAGATGTATCTTTGGACTAGCAGATACGGGGTTTCGAAGAGGCTGCTTGATGGAGATGGGGAATGAAAAGGAAGAGAAAGCAAGAAGAAGCCCGGAGTGAAACTAATAGTGAAAAGGGCAGGCCTAAACCATGACTCTTCGGCTGGCCCATTCGCCGGTCCGTCGTCAAGGCTGCCCGCTCTGGTAGTTGGCATCAAATCACGCCTCGTCATGACAATGCCGAGAAGCGCTTCAGGAGCAGTGACACGCTGAAGCAGGCGCAGAACTGCGGGGCAGGGCTCCACGGTACAGCTGGGCCGGGGATGATGAAGCTACCAGTTAACGACACACCAGACACTTGGGCAAAACTCTAAATTCTGCCTCTGCGAAGCTTCTGTGTCAAGAAAGCTCGGCAAGAGCTTCACATACGTCACGATATGAGAGCAGAACGCCGACCCTCGATACGTTGCATGCTGCGTCATTCATATGTAGGGGAATTGTCTCCCAACTGATTCGCTCATTGAATTTGCTGTGAAAATTCCCTGCGCTACTCAAAGTATAAATCCCAAAATAAACAACCCAAAATAAGTCCCGAGAGCCCACGCTGTGTCCTGTGCCTCTTGATTTTTGTTACTCCGCCCAGGTATCATCATGCCCATCATACAACTTCAAAATGTAAGAATAAACACAGAAATGACGCATAAAACCCCCGCATGGCCAAGCCAAACTGCATACAAGATGCCCGAGGCCGTTCTGTACTGTCATCTAGTCCAGAACAAAAATGGGAAGAGAAAAGCAGTGCTAAAAAACGCTGTGGCCGCTTTTAACGTATCGTTGCCAACAAATTCGTACACATCTGGTGTCCCTGAAGAAATGTGATTTCCAAACGCCCAACATTTTCGTCCGGACGTCACGCTTCAACCGTCAATGGCCTCGAGTGCTTCCAACTGACGCCGCGCCATGCTCAGATGTCGCCCCAAAGCAAGTTCTCCAGAAACCCCTGGTAGCAATGTTATCCCATCATTTGGTCCGCCACGGCTCCTTTTTGTGACGCATTGGTCTTCTTCTTTTCCTTCTTAGCCCATCGTAAGCCACAGGCATTGCAAAGCGTTTTCGGTCCGTTGGGCCCCTTTCGCCATTCCGGGGAGTCCAGAGTCCCTACAGCCACAGTTAGTAAGCACAAAAGAGCCACTGCGTTGACAACAACATAAAACGGGTCGAACGGGTATGCGGTTTCCTGTGGGCAGCCATACCGCAATCTGTGCAGACATATTCCTCCGCCGTCTTCAACTTCTTCTTCTTCTCGCCTGCTCTGGCATCTCGATCGATGGGGATCGCAATGCCGGCATCGCCCCTGATGAGCGTTGGGCTGCTGCCACCCGTCGTGATTCCTCTACTGCGTTCCCCTTCAAGATAACGCAGCCCGGTTAACAGTTCTATTGTCTCCGCATGCGTACTTCCTTCGTAGCGCGCCATCTTATCGCCCAGAGAGTCCGAGTTTCGGCCTGCCGCAACACCTTCAAGATTTTCTCTTGTAAGTGCGGATCCGTCTGCTTGCATATCGCTTGTCGAACTAGCGTTGCGGAAAAACGGGGTGGATGTTCCTGTGGTCTCGGACGGTGTCATGTCAGACCGGCCTTCTTGACTCTGCACCCATTGACGGTTCGATTCCTCAGTTTCGGCTTCCTCTTCTCTCCGAAGCTCTGAAATGCGGCGTCGCAGCCGCTCGTTCTCCATCTTGTGCTCTAAAAATGAGTCAAGAAGCCCAGCATTCTTGGTCGGGTACGTCCTGGACATCATAAAGACAGCTTGGCAGAAAGGCGATTGATTATTCGGGTTCGGCGCAAATCTTGCCGCCGCGATATGGGCGTGGCCGACAGTTTCCAGGACAGTATAGTTGCCAGACTTAGTCTTGAATCTGTAGAACATTCGCAGAGGACTACCAGAGGCGATGGATTCGTTCAGTTCCGCAACAAAAACTCCCTGGTCGTCTGGATGGATCAGATCCTTCAAAAACACATCTTGAACCTCGGCGGCTGTATATCCCGAAATGCCAAAAATGCTACTGGACGCATACTTGATTCGGCCGTTGGCGTCGAGGATATGTAGAAAGTCCTTCAGCTCCTCCACCACCTTGGCCGGCCAATTTCTCCGTTTTGTAAAGTCGGTCAATGTGCTTGCGCTTGCACTTCCACTGCTACCGCCACCGTTGAGACTCATCTGGGCGAAAGTACGGGGCGGTAGAGGGCCAGCTCCGGGCACCTTCTCAACCGCCATGGCCAGCGGATCATCCTGTGGTTGAGCAGCGTTCGAGGAAGAAGCTTGCGCGTCGGCATCGTTCATCATAGCGACGTCTTCGTTTGTATTGGCAGGCATTGAACTGGGTACGGGCATGACTTGTGCGCCGTTTCCCGAGTCAATGTTCATGGATACGTCGCCAAAGGGATCCATCATATCTGCGTCATCGAAGAAGGACATTAAATCATGATTAGATGGCCCGCCGGCGGGAAACTGTGGTACAAGGGAGGGGTTTCTGTCAGCTCTCGGACTCGCCATGCAACGCAGGCCACGGCAAAGGTATGGATGAAAACAGGAAGCAGGGACCAACCGGAGAGTTCTGTGCATTGTTCAAATCGTTCAAGTTGAATGGCGAAAACCCATAGAAATTGCCAGAGGGTGGCGGAGGTGGAGGGGGGTCGTGGGACATGATTGTCTCGATGTGCTCTGCGGCTGCAATAGCTCCAGTACATGTAACTGCATCGGATCAGGGTTAGGGTTGGCGTCAAAGTTCAGTTCCGTGGCGGGAACATAGCGAGCACTTGGGCAGTTCCGGAGCTTTGTGAACCGGCTGAGGGGAGTGATGCGCCCGAGATGAACTTGCACAGCGCGGGAGAGGATTGTAGAGGCTGATTGTAGCACTTGGAATGCTCAAATGCTGGGTTGGAGAGCAGAACCAGCCGACTGGTTGTCGGATATCGGCAGTTCTCTAGAGGTCGAAGCCGGCGCCAGAGCCGTCCGGTGCTGGCGGGAATCGTTACGCCGGCGAGCGGGAAGCAAACCGGTCGACGGTGGGAAGATGATGGAGTTAAACGAAGTCGTTGAGCGAACTAACGGGAGCAGGAAGAATAAGAAGAGCAAGAGAGCGATGCACGAATTCTTGGCGGCAGCGTGTGCTACTGTATAAGAATCCCATGGCGACAGAGCCTACGAGCTCCAAATGTCTGGTACACACTACGGAGTACCAAGTAAGTACTAACTTCTAGACAAATTACGGGGGAGCAGGCAGGGAGTGGGAGCTAATCAGAGAATTGGTACATGGCGACGGGTACCTCGTACAGGGGGTCTCCATTGGCAATGCATGCACGGGGTCCCCAAAGCTGGTTGGTACTTGAAGTTACTCCATTCTAAGTTGAGCAGTGCATACTCGAGTAAGTACTCCGTTATCTTGTATTCCTTCAAGTACTTAGACCCAAAGCGGCCAGGCTACGGAGACGCAGAGCCACAGCGCCACCTGCCGGGCAAACCACTTGATCAGTTCGACGCCAGGCCGTCAGCAGCCAGTCAGGGTGGTGCTCGGGGTGGTGATGAGTTGCGACTCAAACAGCTTCCTGATAAACAATTTCAATATTTGTAGTCCGGAACCTGCAAACCAGCTGACCCTGGTCTCTGCATCCGCCAGCCGGGCTCGCTAGCCCAACGCCTGGGCGGAGGGAGCTACCAGGTGCCTGTTGTCTTGTGCCAGGGACTCAGTTCTGCACCTCGCTCCTGCAAGTCACGACTGGTTCGGAGCAAAACGCCCGCAAAAAGCGGAGAGCTTTGCCATAAAGCTCCCGCCGTGGCACTGTCGATCTCGTGCTGCTCGGGTCCATGGAAGACTACAATACTAGTACTACGCCGTACAGAACTGCCAAAAAAAAGTGGCCGGGTAGCCAAGCTTACTATTACTCCATTGGTCCGGCATGGCAGGGCAAAGGGGACTGGTTGGCAATTTGAATTTTATTTTTACAAAAAAAAAGAAAAGAAAGGGAAAAGCAAGTCTTACTAGGGCCCAACAGGTTAGGACCGGCGACGGCCAAATCTAATAAGAGGTTCGAGACTGGCACGGCAAATGACCACCACATGTGCATCCCCAAAAGAACCCGACGTGTTTTGGTTGCAAGCTCATCCGGCGGCTGCTATCAACGAATGGAGCTATATTACGGCATTCCTTGTGTCAAAGGATCATTCGAGGCGAAATGAGGGCCAGAGGATTGGTTGCCACCCGAGGAATTGAGCCGAGGCGCGGACCTTGGGAGCTTTGTCGTGCAAAGTAGACGCTGCGGGAGACGGAAAAGAAGAATGCGGGACTCTCTTTGAGAGGCGGACAGATTCCTAGCCATTGAAGGCTTTTGGTCTTAAGAGGCCGAATCTGGGTAGCATTTGCGATGGAGTGGAACATGGGGAAAAGCGAAAAGTCCATGTTTCCAAGTTGGGGCAAGGGGGGAGCAGATCAGTCATTGTTACGGAGTATTAGCAGTCGCAATCTTCATTTTGCTTGCCCCTCGCTCCTGTTTCTTTTGCCACAGCGTCGTCAACTCAAATATCAGGCGCTTTGCATTACGGAGTGTGCAGCAACTCCATATCCACATTGCAAAATGCTGTCGCCAGAGTATCGTGGTACAGAGCAGCACAGACGCCTACTTTGTGCCATTCTACCGACCTGTCCGGTTTCATCGAAATCCCTCGCTGGTCGCCTCTCGTCCCAGTTCGACAGGTTGACATGTCATCAGTCAGATTTGTCTCTGTCGTCTCCAAAAGCAAATTGTGACTTTTCATCTTGTCTCTTTACCCCTCCTGAGCAGGGGCCAAGCTGCGGTTCCCAAGACGGCTTGGGTATTCCATGCCGCCGACACACTTGCATCCTGACAATGCTTAGCAACCATCAAGCCCACGGAGCACTACCTGTTTGAGCTCCAGAAGCATCAATTTTCTGCAATATACTTCAAAACATACAGAATACATCCAGTTA